CTCCGCCGTGGCCCCGCGGCTGTCGGCGCTGTTGCCGGCCCTCGCCCGCCTCTTGTCCATCTCCAGCTTGTGGGCTTGGTCGTACTTGAGCTTCAGGTAGTTGCCGATCTCGCGGAACTCGGCCAGCTGGAGCCAGCAGGTCTGGATGCTGCAGCTGCCCGACACGCCGTGGCACTTGCAGGCTCGCTGCATGGTGGATTTCACGGCCTGGGTGGGAAAGGGGGGGCAGTGAGGAGCAGCAGAGCGCTCCTTTAAACAGCAAAGTCAGGCTTTATGGCACTTCTGAGTCAGGGGGAATGGGGCAAAAGTGGCTTGTGCTCAGCATGACTTGAGGTCCTTCCAAGACGTGAGCTGACACTCCTATTTCAGTTCCTGGAAAACATCTGTCCCTCTTCACTAACTTAAAGGATGGAGATAACGAGTGGGCACAAACTATTGTCCTCGCAGGAGCTCTTTCTCCAGGCCAGGAAAAAGGTGCCTTTGTCGGGTCATGCCCTTCTCAGGAGCTCACCCTGCTCATCACAGCATCAACCCGTCATCCTTCTCAGAAGTTTCATTCAAAACGTGTGAAACTGCTTTGGAATAATCATACCCGACCTCCCTTCATCTCCTCCAGGCCAAGCACTTCACAGATATTATCTACCTATCTCCCTCTGGTATTTATAAGGTCCCAATCTCTGGTATCTATGTGAGATTAAGCCCTGACACACCCTATGAGATAGGTATGTTAAGTGTTGCCATCCTTGTTTTTACAGACAAGGAGGTTTGGCAAGCTGCTGAGAGCCTCAGCCCAGGTGGGGAGCGGGGGGCGAGCCTGGCAGCTGGAGCTCACACCTGGATTCCCCGGCCACATAGCTGGGAAATGCACATTGCAAGAAAGTAAGGTGCTTCTTGCTTTGTTTCCTAGTCCAGACAAGCACTAGGTGAGTACAAAAGGTCTCTGTGTCGGGGGAGTGCTGGCAGTTACCTGCACTGCACACAGCTACAGAAACTGGACGTGGGAACGACTCTTCCAGCTGTTCAGGTTTGGGGTCAGATTCTGCCTGTGGGGTTTTTCCCCCCTCTGCAAACACTACAGGGGTTAGATCGTCACAGAGGGCTGGTGACGAGGACCTGAACAGCCTGGCAGACTCTGGGATTTTGTTCTAAATGTAGAGGTTATTACTAGGATTATAAATATCTGACTTACGAGTCTCCCAGCTTCATTGTTGTGCAGGTTAATGAGCGCGCGGGTGTCGTGCCCCGTTTCCAAGGCGTCCACAAAGAGCTTGGAGATCCTCTCCCCAAAATCCACGTTGTCGCTGCATCCTCCCCACACCCAGCCTCGGCCACCTGCAGGAGAGATGCCCGCGGAGCTCAGAACCTCCCCGGGGGCCCAGTTCTGCCCTGCAGTCCCGGGGAGGGGGAGGGGGTTGGGGAGGTGCGGGGGCTCACCGGCGCGGCCGTTGCGGGAGTCGTCGCAGCCGCAGCTCTCGAAGTCCCCCATGCTGCAGTTCCTGGTCAGGGTGTACATCACCCCGGCCGAGCTGATGGCGTGCACGAAGGATGTTTCCCGGGTAGCTGGGGAGGGAGGAAAAAAAGGCTGTCACGTGCAAATATAGACCTCACTCGTGGGTTATTGGGAATAACCCATAATGGGTTATCTCCCGTGCTGCAGAGGTGCAAGAAAGGAAAAGAAAACAAACACAAACCCCACAAAACAGTTTGTGCAAAAGCTACAGTGCTACAGAAATGAAATGCTCCTGGCTGGAGGTTTTTCAGGCTTCAGCATCAAGGGTTTCAGTAATTTGGCACGTTACACAGGTGTCCATGCACAGGATGGAGTTTCTTGGCAAGAGTAGGACCTTAAAGCAGTGCCCCAGTCCTGCTCTGGCCAGGGCTAGTTATCACTCCCTTTCCTGGCACTCAGTCCCTCTCTGCCCTCTCCTGCTCCGGGGGGGATGTTCCTGCTTTGATCTTGCCTGCCGGGGAAAACTGTCATTGATCTTGTTTCAGTCGGTCTCGTTGAACCTGTGCTAACAGCTGCCAGCACCCACACTTCTGACTTGTTTCTTTTTTGGCTTTCCTACCAGATTCAATTAGAGAAGCAGCTCTGGGAAAAGAGACATTTCTGCTTGTCGAAATAGATAGTTCTAAAATACATCCACAACTTTCTGCTGAAGACAGCTTCTCAGTGCACGTCCCTGGTTCCTCTCTTCATCCCTCCTGCACTTGTCCCCATGGCAAGCTCAGGTGCCTCCAGCACTGTGCTCCCTGGGATGCTGCACACATGGAGCAGCACTTGGGAAGGACCCAGCTCTAGCCCAGCATGGGTAAAGCCCCAGAGAGAGCCTGGGCTCCCTAAAAACACATTACCACTATTTATTACCCCAGTTAATACAGCCAGAGCAAAAAACCCCCGCGATTTCTGGGGAGCCCAGAGCTCTTCTCCATCAACGGGTCTAAGCAGCAGCCCCAGCTCTCCCCAGGGCCCCCCCAGCCCATCCTGGGGGGTGAGGGTGCTCTCACTCACCGCTGCGGAGCCGGTTGTGGGTGGAGAGCTGCAGGGCGCTCTCGGGGCAGTTCCAGCGCTCCCACCCGAACTGGAACTTGCACTCCTCCATCCCGCTGTGCGCCCCGGCCGCCACGCTGCTGGAGTACGTCAGGTAAGCCTGGCAGGGGAAACAGCAGCTACAGCCCACCACGCTCTGAGAAACCAGTCCTTGCCTTCCTTACCCAACAGCACGGGGAGCCGATACGCTCCGGGAAATGTGGTGCCTTGGAAAAGTCTGATTTCCCATTTGCAAAACAAAAATTGCTCTGCTTAGACTCCTGACAGCCCCTGCGTTAATTACCTTGGGTCCCGTCATCAGAAAGTTATTCACAGACCTGAAACAAAGGAAAGAAAATGAGTCGCACGGTTTAGGGCGGGCTGAAGAGCATCCCTAAAATCGCCTTTTCTGTTGAGCTGGACCCTACCATGCTGCTGCGTGGAGGACGGCGCCGTAGACCCCTGCAACAGAGAGGATGAGGAGGGTGCTTCTCTTCATGGCTGTCACAAGGAGCAGGGTTGGATCCTTTGCTGCTCTGGAGCTCTCTGCACCCCGAGTGAGCAGGGCCGCCTCCTCTGCTCCTTCCCAAGGTGAGCTCTGGGGATGGAGGAAAGCTGCAGGAACCCACAACCCTGATATTTATAAGGTGATGTTGTGAATAGTCAAAACCCCCCATTCATTTGTTACCCAATGGCTTAATGTGGTAAAAAAGCTCCCGCTCCAATGGGTGACAAGGAACCGCCTAAGGTTGCACTTCAAAAGGCGGCGTGGTGTCCCTGGGAGCGGGATGGTCTGAGGGAGAGCAAACTTCCCTAACAATGGGACACTTTTAACTCTCCTCCCCACCACCGGCCATCCCTTTCTCTTGGCCCCAGGTCCGCTTGCCTTCTCCTTTTCATCCTCTGCTTGCCAGCAGAGGCTCAGTCCCTGCGTCCCTCCAAAATAACAAGCTGATGCATTTCCATAGTTCCCCTCCTACGAGAACTCCCCGAGGAGTTTTAACAACTGTCCTGTAAAGATCTACAGGGGAAAGACTTCCCAGGTCGTCTGGATTTGAAGAGGTGGTTTAATGGTGGGGCTTTTCCCCTCCTCACCCCTTTATGAGGGAGGTTTCTGCCTTTCCAGCCCGCTCGCAGGGCTTGGGGGCGCTCGGAAATCTCTCTCCTTTACGCGGCGGCAGCCTGGGAACGCTGTGTGAATCATTTATGTGGTTTGCTCCATGCTCCAACGCTGTAATTAGGGGAGCAGTTTTCTGGGGTTAGCAATTTCCCCACGGTGAAGGCTGCTGCAGCAGCAGCACGGCTGCTCGCTGGCTCTGCAGGCAGGAGCGCTGCCCGTACCCCTGGGCTGAGCGAGGGGCCCCCGCTGCTGCCCAGCCACTGCCTGTGCTCAGGAGAGGAAAATCTTTATCAGGGGAAACCCAAAAACGCCTCCTGGTAGCTATGGCCAGTGTCGTTCAGGGCTGTGAGGAGCTGGAATGCTGTGGATGGAGCAACGGCGAGGTGGCGTTGGTGGAAACATCTTGGTCTGTTTCCCTGTGGCCGAGTGGTCCCAGCCAGGGGCTGGCTCAGCCCGGGCGTGGATCCTGCCCGTGGAGCAGGGCAGTGTGGGTGCTTTAGCCTGAGAGCTGTGCCGTGCTGTGCCAGTGGTGCCAAGCAGCCCCCCAGCTCTGCCCTGTGGCACACGGGTGCAGCACCTGCCCGCTGCTGGCTCCAAGGCAGAGCTCCATGGCTCCAGGAGCTGTCATCTTCCTCCTCCTCTCAGCTCCCTGGCTGACCCCTGGGCATGCTGGCATTAATCGCTGCTCCTGCAGAGTGGCTCCCAAAGGGTTTGCAAATGTCAGGTTCAAGGGAAGGGGACTGCGTGTGGCACCTGGGGGGCTGTGCCACCAGCAAAAGGGGCCACACAGGGACAAATTCCATCTCTGCACCCAGGTGAGCAGCCGTGTGGCCCTGTGGTCAGGCAGGAGCCTGCTGCCTCTTCAAGGCGTTTGCCAAGTTCTTGGTTGTCTTGCCACGACACGTGTGAGAGCAGCAACCTGCCCTATGGTTGTACCCCCTGCAGGGTCCCTCAGCTTGGGTCCCAGGCAGCTGGGGGGCTGGCACTGCTCTCCCTCCTGCCCAGGAGTGGGCAGATGGGCTCCTGTGGCTGCAGAAGGCATGAGGATCCCCCCTGCCCTGCTGCCCATCAGCATGTGAGTGAGGGAGAGGAGAATCTTCTCCCTCTACCCCCTGCTTCCAGAAGGGAAACCTGGACCCGGCTGGGCAAAGCCGCAAAGAACTGTTTGCAGGCAGAGGATTAAAATTGCAGATTGGTTGAAAAGCAGGGATGCAAAATACCTTCCAAGTGAGCGCAAGGCTGGTGTAGTCCTGCCAGCACGGCAAAACCCTCTGTGAGTCAGCATTTTAATCACTACCATCCCAAACAGATCCTGCCTGCTGGAGCTGTCAAAGGACAATCACTGGGAATCGAGCGTTTCCCATGTCTCTGTGAAGTTCATTGATGAAATCCCACACACGGTTTGGGAAGCTGCTGTGCCTTTTCTGTATGCACCCAGATCAGTTTAAGGGTTTGTATCTCACCATCCCCGAGGGCATATGGATGTTTTTTAGGTTTGGTGGGGGTTTTTTTTGTTTTTTTTTTCTTTTTTCTTGTCTGAGAGAGCTTGTACAGCTAAGAAGCTGTTGGTGTGTCTGTAGTGCCAGGTCACACATGACATTTGGCTCACACGCCAGGAGAAGCATCTCTGGGTGTGAAGCTCTGCCACGAGCAGCCGCTGCAGTCGGCAGGATCACGCAGCTATTTGCCTGGGCTATCAAAAATGTCCTTTCCAATTAAAGTCACGGGGATCTTAAAAGTCACTCGTACCGTTGTCACTTAGGCTAGCTGTCAGCAAGCAAAGCAGCGTGCTGGGACAAGCCTCCCCGTGCTGCTGCAGGGCTTTTTCTGCATTTACAGCTTGGTTCTGCAGGGTCGCCCAGCCCAGCAGCTGGATGGGGCTGCACTGGTCCCAGCTGTGCCACTGATGGGCTTTCCCACCTCAGGCAAAAGTAGACTTTGGTCTTGCTACGTAATAAATTCTGCACTTCCCGAGTGCTTCAGGCAATGCCCTTGCAGTAAAAAGGACTCAACAGAGCTGCCTCTGTTTGCAGTTGGGTAAACTGAGGCACGGGGATGGGTGGTCTTGAGATCTCGGGGTACATCAGTGGCAGAGCTGGATGGGTGTAGCTGTTTGGAAGCTGATTTTGGTGCTTTGCCCTGTACGTGGCTGGGCACGTGTGGGCGAAGCCCGGCCGGGCTCCCGAGGGCTGCAGGGCTGGGTGCTCCCCCAGCACCCGTGAGAAAAGCTCACCTGAGCCACAGGTCCCAGCTGTGAAGTGATGCTGAAGGAGTTTCTCTTTGGTTTTCCCACTGCCTAGAAACCTGACGTTGGTTTGGTTTTGGATTTGGGGGGAGGAGGGGAAATCTGAAAGGAAAATGCTGTGTATTTACCTGGTTATGCAGAAAATGAAGTGTCAGATGTTCTGGGCAGCCTTGGCCCTCAAAAGGAGCCATCAACTACCCACCTGGTGGCACCACTGGGGTTTGCCTCCAAGGGCTGTTGCAGGGCAGGGTGTTTGGAAAGCTCTGTCCTGAATGTCAGCTGGAGCTCCTTGGCTTTACTGATAAAATGTTGATGTTTTGGTTTATAGTTTCCTCCTACGTGACCAAACGGCCAGTGCTTGCCTGGGGAGGATGGAAATCCTAAAATATTTGGATATCTGTCCCAAGTCAAAGAGGTATTAATAATATATTCAGCCCCATGCAGCCATAGAAGTCTCTTCACATCAGAATATGGGTTTAAGGGAAGGCAGACATGAGCTAAAGCAGTTTATAACTGTGGGGCAGCGGGTGCCACAGTGACAGGCTCTGAGCACTGGGGCAGAGAGCTCCACGGCCAGGGACCACAGGGAAATAAAGCACAGGCCACTTGCTAAATTGCCCCTGGCAGGTGACACATTCAGACCCCGAGCGTCAAATCCTGCATTGCTGGCTTGGTTACAATAAAAATCCACCTGGGCAATTAGAACCCCCCCTCGGGGGCGAGGGGCAGGGTGGTTTATGGTGCTCCCCCCAGGAAGCCACCCGAGCCCCCGCTGCTCAGCAAAGGGCTCCTGTCCCTTTGCTTCAGGATGCTCCAGCACGGAGCCCTGCAGCCGTGGGGCAGCCTTCCTGCACGCTGGGCTCTACGCAGGGGTTGGTTTGTCCCAGCTTTCCAGAGCTGGGGAAAATAGGTCCCTGTTGCCATGCCTGCTGCTCAGTCCCTCCTGGGTTGCTGCAGCTCCCAGTGGGAGCAGCCGCCAGCAGGACCCCAGCCCAGAACTCAGCAGGGCTGGTGGGAACTCTGCCTGGGCAACGAATGTGTTTGGGTTAATGAATAGTAATTGAGGATGGAGGTGAAAGTGGAATCAGGTTTTATGCCACACCTATCCCACAGGCTTAGGCTTCTTCATTCTCCTCTTGGCACGGTTAGAAGGGGCCTGATGTTCACTGAAAACAAGGTAAAAACGTCCACCAGTGCCAGCTTGTGGTGTTCTTTCCTAGTGACAAGGTTATCCCAAGGAGTTCCTGTCTCCTGCCTCCCCTCAGGTCTTTGTCTCCCCTCAGGACTTTGTCCCCCCTCAGTCATTCCAACACAACCTGTTTCGTTTAGTTCTGATTCCCAACCCAGTCTCACGTGTGGTGTGATGGATGAGCAGTGAACTTCAGGGAGGCCAGGAACGAGCAGGTCCAAGGGAACAGGCTCTGCTGCAGAAGGAAACACGTCCTGGAACAGAATGATCAGGATGCCAAAAAACAGGACCATAGGAGGCTCAAGATTGCATGGTTTGGGCTTTATCTCTTTTGGTTCAAAGAAGAAAATTTTGGGTTTGGAACTAAACTCTAATTTTTCCAGCCACAAGCCAGCTGGGGACATGGATGATTCCCAGCAAGGGGAATGCAAGGGGCTGGAGCATCTCTGCTCTGAGGACAGGCTGAGAGCACTGGGATTGTTCAGCCTGGAGAAGGGAAGAATCTGGGGAGAATCTTAGAACTGCCTTCCAATGCCTGAAGGGAACTTCCAGGAAGGCTGGAGAGGGACTTGGCACAAGAGTGTCCAGTGACAGGACCAGGGGAAATGGTTTTAAACTGAAGGAGAGCAGGTTTAGACTGGATTTTAGGAAGAAGTTCTTCAGCACGAGGGTGGGGAGACTCTGGACTAGATTGCCCAGAGAAGTTGTGGCTGCCCCCTCCCTTTTTTACACTTTCAGATCAAAGTTCAGCTCTCAGTGACTCTTGAGAAGACTCAGCTGCCTGGTGGGCCCTGGGGAGGCAGCTCCAGGACCTGATCAGCATCACCTCAGCTGCCTCCTTTAGGTGTGTCCTTCAAAGCCTGCAGGGCTGTTTGCAGAGCAGCATTATAAAGTAGGCACAAGCGTTTTGGGTGTTTTTTCTCCTTCTTTCAAGGAAGTGTCATG